AGCGTGGTATTATAGGAGCATACCACATAACCTTGGCAGAGATTTTCTTTCTAGGACGTTGTTCACCCTCGACGTCACCGGGATCATCGCGCTTTGATCTTATACCATGATGCTTTTATATAGGGCATTCATCCAAATTCTCGTATTCATTGCCATGGTAGAGGATGCGATTATTAGGATATGCATGTATCTTCCGGATTTTTAATCCCAAAGGGCGAACAACCTTTTTGCTTTCATTACATAGTGGTGGGCAATTCATTTGGCTTTGGAAGCATCTTCTTTATGAGATTCAATAAATTCCCAAATGCCTTGTCGGATACACCATTCTTTGCCTTCCACTCGTAGCAATTCCGGTGTTGTACCCAGCTTTTTTTGCCCCCTTTCTACGTCGGGTATAGCAACTTCCTATGATCCTCAAGCATGCTTTCGAACTTAACTTTCTCTTTTCACTTTCCCATTCTTGTTGTGCATCACGAATGGCATCGCCAAGAGCATCACCGAGATCATCTTCTACCGCTACCTCTTCTTCATCTCCCCCATTGTAGTATCATCAAAGACACCATCTCGAGCAATAATGTCATCAATGTCTAAATCTTCTCCTTCACCTTCTTCCATCATGACCCCGCTTTCTCCATGCTTAGTCCAACATATATAGTTTGACATGAAACCCGACTTAAGCAAATATGAATGAAGACTCATTGAGCTTGAATATTTCTTTAAATTCTTACATAGGGCACATGGACAAAGACATGAAACCATCCCGCTTATTTACCTCGGCCACACCTAAGAAATAATACAAGCCCTCAATAAAGTCTTGGGAGCGGCGATCGGCATTGTACATCCAATGGCGTGACATAATCAGACATACACGACAAATTATGAAAACCTTGAACATAATTAAGTATTTTATTACACAACATAGATGACACACACACGGTTGATTAATTAACTAAGCACTGGCTACAACGTAAGCAATCCCAACTATCACTAAACAAACTAAAACTACAATGCACTTCAGTAACATAATTATTTTATGATAGACGCAACTAAAAAAAAGCAGACAAATTATTCTTACGTTGAATATCAATAAGCTTTCTCCTTTGGCTCATCGCCTCATCGCCAGTAAATTGGATTTTACGTATGTAGCATAATCTTCCTCCCAAGTACCAACCATCGCATCCATTACCCTCCCACTAAAATTAAAGCAAAAAAATATTTAGTAAAAAATATTCAAGAAAAGCAGGTCAATTAGCCATAATAATCAAATGCGTAAGAAACTCACATCGCGATTCGGGCACTTGTAGAAAACACGACCCTTGTTGGGTCCCTGTCTCTTGACTCGGTACTCCATCACAATCTTCTGCTTACACTTGCCGCAGACAATGAGAGTAGGTTCTGGCCTCAGTCGTTTCACAACCGAACGAGAGGCCGAGGATCCGGTACCAGTTGTCATCTACTTTCTATACTTATTTTTGCAAACTACTATAAATTTCATATTTTCTAAAATAATATATTTAAACAAAACTAAAATTATTTATTTATCTAACTAAACCATGAAATATGTACTATGTATAATAGTAAAATACCAAACTATCAAGTGATTTTACTATTGTAAATCATCATGTGATTTTGAGCTAAAAATGACATAGAAATCACATAGCTCAAAAACATGTTTCAATAAATAATCATCCGTACTAGTTGACCTTGCTTACGTGATTATCTCGGTGAGCATTTCTCCATCGGAGATGAAGCACCGTGATTTTGGCCAAGGAAGAGTCTCGATTCTACGAGGAAGGAACACGGTCTTCCACGACCGTTGCCGCTCTCCCTCAGAGAATCAAAGCTCCTCCTCGACGTCCGTTACCGCTCGACAGAGAAAATGCTCGCCGAGATGATCACGGTCCGCAAGTTCAACTAGTACGGATTTTCTATAATTTTCTAACTATTTTCTAAGTTTTTCATTTCATTGAAAAATTAATTCTAAGATCACGTAAGCAGCCGGGGACGAGGATGGCGCGTGCTCAAATGAGGACGACGAAGCGAGGCGTGATTTTGATGAACTAATTTAACTTTTGTTTATCAAACATATATGCAAATCATCATGTGATTTTGAGCTAAAAATGACATATAAAATCATAATAAAGACCAACATATAAAGTTACACATGCATCTACATCGTAAAATGAGATAAGCTACCGATAAAACATAAGAGGATTAAGTTTGTTACCTCCAAAATCGAAGAGCAACACCAATGGAGGGGAGAGAGCAAGAACAACAAAAAAGTGAAGAACAGAGGCAATGAGTTTGAATGGAATGGCTCGGGCTCGAGAAGGAAAGAAATGAGCGGTGTATAGGCCGACATAATTAGTCCGGTTAGGTGGCCAAACCGGGACTAAAGATTAATAATTATTCCCGGGGTATCACCCAAACCGGGACTAAAACCTTTCGTCCCGACTGATATTACCAACCGGGACTAAAGTTTTTTAGTCCCGGTTGGTAATACCAGTCGGGACTAAATATCTCTGCCATACGGACGACCGTTGAGCAGGGACCTTTAGTCCCGGTTGGTATTACGAACCGGGACTAAAGAGTCCCGATGACAAAAAATGCCGAGGCTAATGCCAAATTGGGACATCGTTCTAAAATCTGTTCTCTAGTAGTGACTGTCTGGATCCTTCGGCATAGTATATATAATTGCCTTTGTAGTGTGTCATCTTGTTGTGAGAAATCACATTATTGCTTTGTGTTACTAATTGTGTGATACTCTAAGTCTAATAGGTAGTGCTATTAACATTTTCGCCCACATCGACCATGCTCACATGGACGGAACGTGTTTTATTCAGAAATGAATTTTTCAACTCTATCCTGGCTTAGCTTTACATATGATATCCTCTGTTATGAAAGAAGCCACCTACATATCTCAGTATCATTTGGTGTGAACAATATGATTGCACTAGATATGGTATTATAATATCTCTAAATGCAAGAAAATGGTATTTTTAGCTGTACAATGCTAGGAAAACGTTTTATTTCTCTTAATTAAAAGAATCATTGTCATGTTAAAAAGTATTTTTATTTCATCTAGGTCGAGGTGGTATGAAATATATTGGGGCTTAAGGTTTCTACCCCTGTTTTGAAGCGAAATGGTGATTTTGCTATCATTTTTTTAACTTTGTGATCTTACCCCTGAGATTTCTAAACGAAGGCAGACTTTACCCCTGCTCTGTAAAGTCCCTCTAACGGTGTTAACTTTTGAACCAACAGATAACTTTGCATATGCGTTTTTACTCCTATTTTATTTTGATATTTGTGTTTTTACACACCTATTTTTATATCAGTAATTTGACAATTTTGATACATAATTATACAATTCAATCAGTGCAAAACTCAACAATTTTTAGAAAAACTCAATAGCATTTCAGCTAACAATCCATATAAACATAAATTAATATCGCCAAAATCGAGCCTTATGCCGTGGAGCTTATGCTTTCTGCTGTTGAATCGAGCGCCTCAAGCTTCAAGCAAGCTAGGTCTTAGGTGTGCTGTGTGTGCGGTGGGAGCAGATGGGGAAAGTAGGACGCGGAGAGAGAGTTGTCTATCCTATTGGGTCGTGCACGTAAAATAGAAGGCCTAGGGAACCCGCGCGGCGTCCTAGCCGCCGCCGGTGCGAGCCAGGTGGGGCAGGGGGAGGAGGAGCTACGCCGCCCAGTGATGCCACTCAAACCCTAACGAGTGCTCGGGAAACCTCCCAACGTGATTCCTCCCTAACGTGCGAGGGTTCGAGCGAGATAGGAGAAAAACTTCTAAGGAGGCATTGCTATCTTTTTGTCTAGCTGCCTTTTCTTTTTTATTTTATTTGGTCATTTAATCCAACCAGTCCCAACGGTGTTAGAGAGTAGGGGTAAAGACTGCTTTGTTTAAAAACGAAGAGGACAAAATCACAATGTTAAAAAAGAAGGGGTAAAATCATAATTGAGATTTCGAGTAGGGGTAGAAATATCAAATTCACAACTATATTCGTGTGTGTAAGCGTATTATAATTTTGGGAAATTTTTCTTTTTTTCCATAAGAATAGCATTTCCCTTTCATAAAACGTCAGCGTAGAAAAGGAAGTTATAATTTTTTTCTTAAGCTAGGCCTTGTTTAGATTGTAAGTTTTTTCACTCTCTCTACATCACATCAAATTTTGGACACATGCATAGAGTATTAAATGTAGATAAAAAAATAACTAATTACACAGTTTGATTATAAATTATAAGATGAATCTTTTGAGCCTAGTTAGATCATAATTGGATAGTAATTATTAAATATAAACGAAAGTGCTATAGTGCTAAATATTAATTTATAACTCCAATCTAAACAACACTAGTTAGGTACCGGGCCTACTCACGTGTGGATTATTCCCTTGAGCCTGCTCCATATGGTGGTAATCATTATCTCCTCCCGGCCCCGTCAGAAGATCACGCCGTTCGTGGACCGCCCGCGGCCCGCGCCCCCCGCCCCCGCCGCGCTCTCCTGCCCTTGGGATATTTGCGTGCGCCGAGGCCACGTCATCCAATCAGATTGCGACGTCACTGACACTGCGGGGCCCGCTTCCGCTTTTCGCTTCGCACCGTACCGCCACGTACCCGCCCTTGTACCGTAGACGTCAGGTGGGACCAGCATACTGATCCCAGCGTTGGGCCCAATGTCAGTGATCGATTTGCGATGGACGAGTCGATGGCCGGGTGCGAAGTGTTGGCAGTAATATACAGTATATAGGTTCATTCCCCACACCACATCGAACTGTGTGCGCGGTCGGTCGCTCCCCTTCCCTTTGTCCGTCCGCGATCTCGGCTGGCCCTCGGCTCGTCCCCGATTCCGGCGTCCGAACCAGGTGAGCAATCTCTCCCCCCACCTCTCCCAACTGGTTCTTCGCGCGCGCCGAACTGTAGAGGGGCGGAATCTGACGCGAATTTCACTGGATTCGGTGCAGATTTGCTCGGGGCCTCGTGCCAGCGATGAAGGAGAAGCGTGGGCTCGAGGACGCCGGCGGCGCCGGCGCCGGCGACGGGTGCCCTGATGCCAAGAGGGCGCGGCCTCCGGCTCTGGCCAGGTGAGGGACTCTCCGGGTTCCACTTTTGGGCGTGTTTAGCTTCATGATGTGCTTCTGTTTGACAAGCTGTGGAATTAGTTGCATGAATGGGGAGCACTAGCGGGAGCTCTATGATTTTCGGTATTGTATGCAATCGGAAATTTGGGCCTGGATTACTTTTCCGCTGATCTGTTATGGTAGTGAGTACCTGAGGAACTCGTCGAGTTGAATTCATCTTCAGTGGCTACTGGTGACTGGTCTGTGCTAAGAACAGCGTTTAAGCTAGGGTTTGGTGCAGGCTGCTGGTGATGGCTGCAATGATGGCAAACTGCTTGACTGGATCGTGGAATTTTGGAAGAAATATTGATCTTGGTGTGCGTGTTAGGTTTTTTATGTAATAGTTGCAACTCATGAAAGCATGGAATATTCATAGTTCTACCTTATCCAAAATGGAAAGTATTTATATTGTTACTATCGTCCTAACGTCCTCCTTGTTAGTTGGACACGAGTAATTACGCTTTGGCCGTTGGGTTTTCGGTAAATTAGGTAATGCCCCCTGTTTATTTCAATAGATAGATGAAGTAACCGTTGTCAAGTGTGCGTTACCAGGTAAGAAAAGGAATCAAGCCAAGCTTGGTTGGTTAACGGTGTAGTTCAGTGGTCGCATGCTCAGCCCACTCAAGTTCGAGTCGTATTCAATGTGGATTTGGGAGCCTGTTTCTTCTTAACGTAAAAGCCACTTAATTTCTCCAAGTCTGGTCTATGTTTCTAGGAAGTATTTTAATGTCTCAAGTGAAATTAGAGCATGGTAGCCTATGTAAACATACAGTGTTGGTGGATATGAGTCTAGATTGATTCTGGGACACATGGATTGTTGTAAAACAGTAAGTAGGAATAGAGTTATCTTTTTGATAACCAGTGTTATAATTCAATTTCATATACGATATACCTGTATTCTCTTTGCAAAGACAAGTTGAAGACTGAACTTTACCAAACTTCTCACGTTTTGAAGAGTTGCTGAACACCATGTTAATAGTTTTAGTGAATACCTCTGTTGTTTCAATTTGAGTTCAGACTTCAGATTGCCACACAATCAGATTAAGAAAATATAGCTGTTGCACTTTTTTCTTCCGACAGCACGAGAATCTGAATTTCATTACTTCACAGCAACAAAGTTACAGCAAGTTAAGTGATCCAACCATGCAGCTAGCAACTAAACGAGGAAAACGCTAACACACCTTAGTACACAGGGCTTAACACGTGCAGCGTGCTCAGTCCTGAAATGTTCAAAACACTTTGGAACTATACGAAAACGTCAAAAACAGCTCCGGCACTAACGAAGCATAACATGAAAATGCGACAGACATGTTACATGTCCCCTCAGATAAGGACTGCAGCTCGCAGGCGTTACTGATCATGCTTGGCCACCCCTTTAACTAGCCATTGCTTCATGCGCTTCCAACCTTCCTTTCATAGTTGTTGCACTTGTATGGATATAGATTTTCTGTCTCTGACAGAACTTGCTCTCTTGATTGCTTGGCGTTTTATTTTACTAATAACAGAATAATCAGTGACCTATCACATTCTAGTTGTTGTAAACAGTCTCTCTATCTACCATGCAGTGTTATTGTTGAAGCGTTAAAGATGGATGGTCTGCAGAGGCTCTGCTCATCATTGGAACCAATTCTTCGTAGAGTAGTAAGAACATTATGTAGAAACTATTCATCAAGCACAAATGCATCCATTCCTTTATTTGGCTCTGACTTTGTTCTTCATTTACTTGATAGGTCAGTGAAGAAGTGGAGCGCGCACTGGGGAGACTTGGCCCTGCAGCAATCGGTGGAAGGTAAGCTGTTCCACATAGGCTAAATGCATATTCCTTTAAGTTCTTCCACTGTTCCTTCTGCATTAATAGCATCTTAGCAGTGTGTAAGCCTATCACTTTCAAATTAGGGAGAATTATACACATTAGCTTTGTGTCTATATTCTAGATGTAAATTCACAAGACATTATTTTTCTTACTCAATTCAACACTGCAAGTAGTAAGTGGCAGTAGTTGCTTCATCAATGACCTATTCATGGAGCCTATTTAAGAATAAAGCATTTTCCTTCACTTGCCATCCTGGGTAGATAGCAATCCAAATAAGGAAGCATGTTGACGCTAACGATTTTTTCCTCTCCTTTTAAATATAACAGGTCTTCCCCAAAGCGAATTGAAGGTCCAGATGGCAGAACTCTGCAACTCCAATTCCGGACAAGGCTGTCACTTGCCCTTTTTACTGGAGGAAAAGTTGAAGGGGAGCAGGGAGCTGCAATTCATGTTGTTTTGTTTGATGCTGGCACTGGCTGTGTTGTATCCTCTGGACCAGAGTCGTCTGCCAAACTTGACATTGTTGTTCTAGAAGGTGATTTCAACAATGAAGATGAGGAGGGCTGGACAGGGGAAGAGTTTGACAGTCACGTTGTGAAGGAGCGCGAGGGAAAGCGGCCTATTTTAACTGGTGATCTACAAGTCACACTAAAAGAAGGTGTAGGGACAATTGGGGAGCTTACGTTCACAGATAACTCTAGCTGGATAAGGAGTAGGAAATTCAGGCTTGGGTTGAAGATTGCCTCAGGATTTTGTGAGGGTGTTCGCATTCGTGAGGCAAAAACAGAAGCCTTTATGGTTAAGGACCATAGAGGAGAATGTAAGTCCCAAAAATTTATCCGTGTATTTCCACTTGACATATATCTAAACTATTTCAATTTCATTTATCTAGTGTACAAGAAGCACTATCCACCTACACTGAAAGATGAGGTCTGGAGGTTGGAAAAAATAGGGAAGGATGGGTCATTCCATAAGAGGCTGAACAAATCTGGAATATCTACAGTTGAGGATTTCCTTAGGCTCGTGGTTCGGGACCCACAGAAATTACGCAGTGTAAGTTTGTGTGTGGGGTGTTATTAACTTATTCTTATTATACTTTCATGTGTTTCGGTTTCTGATTATAAATGCTATTCTGCGATAGATACTTGGAAGTGGTATGTCCAACAAAATGTGGGAAACCCTTGTGGAACATGCAAAGACTTGTGTCTTAAGTGGAAAATATTACATATACTATTCTGATGAGGGCAGAAGTATTGGTGCTATTTTCAACAACATCTATGCATTCTGTGGGTTGATTTCTGGCGAGCAGTTCTATTCATCTGAGAGTCTTGATGATAGCCAAAAGGTCAGTATTGTTATCAACTTAGCGTATATTCAGGATATTGAGTGATATTACATACGTTTAAGTTGTTTTCCAATATAGAACTAAATTCCATACCGATGCTATTCTTTGAAAACTATGCGAGACGTTGCTTCTTATTTTTTTTAAAAAAATCGTGCAAGTTCGGTACAAGAATTGTCAACCTGTGGAGCTTAGAAATCCTTAAGAAATTGCAGTTCAAACATGATGTTATGTTACATTGATCTACAATCGAGATATTTCTTTACATTCCATTCTGCACAAGGACGATGAGGATGAAAATGTGTTTTTTAAGTGTCCACTGGCCATAACTTCCATATCACTTGCATGGAAGGTATCATCAAATCTTTGAGAAGTTTATGAATTATGACCACTTTACTAAATGTGTCAGAGCACTTATGGCCTTCTGTAGATGCAGGCATGCAGCTGAAAAGTATGAGCTTGTAGTAATTGCCTACTCAGTTGAAGTAGCTCTTTTCATTGCTTAGATGATATTTTTTTTCCTATAAAAACGCAACTGACTAGAACTTCATTGTTCTTTACAGCTGTTTGCTGATGCATTGGTAAAGAAAGCATATGATAACTGGATGTATGTCATTGAATATGATGGCAAAGGTCTTTTGAACCCTAAACCAAAGAAAAAGACTGCATCCACTGGTCAAGCTGAGACACATGCTCCTGCGGGTGGTCCGACTTCATATCAACAACACCTCTCCTCGATGAGCACGTCAGGGCCATCACCATCAGGTGAGCAGCATCTGAGGCAAAGATACGATTACCAGAGTTCTATTTTGTTGGTTGTTTCAGTTTGTAGCTTATGTTAACTGGAAACCCAAACTGTTGTTGTAATTACATTGATATGGTTATTAATTTGATACGAGGCTCTAAGACATTAGACATGTAAATATGTTACATCGTTATAACAAGTCTTTGAAATTTGAATGCCGTGCTTCTTTAATTTGTTTCAGGTGGAACTGATTCTGTAGGGTATGGTGTCGACCAATCAGCAACACATCCATCTCAACTCCAGAGTTCATCCGCCAATGTCCAGTCTGCCATTGTCCAGCCACCATATGATGACACATTTTCGTTCTTACCACCTAACATGCTGACAGGGTCTGCAAATGATGCCATGGGTCTGGAACTGGGCCAGTTGCAGCAAGTAATTTCTCAGGGCCAGGCAATTCAGCCAGCAAACGTGGGATATGGTGATTGGCCCAGAAACCGTGACAGTCAGTATGCTGATGACTTCACTGAAGACATTCGCGTGAAGAGTCACCAGATGCTTGAGAGCGAGGACATGCAGCAGCTGCTGAGGGTCTTCAGTATGGGTGGAGCTTCTGGCAGTTTGCCAGATGACACGTTCAACTTCCAGTCCTACATGCCCTCTCCCTTACCGAACCTCGGGTTCGAAACTGAGCGTAGCCATTCATCTGGCAAAGCTGTTGTTGGCTGGCTCAAGATCAAGGCGGCAATGAGGTGGGGAATTTTCGTCAGGAAGAAAGCTGCCGAGAGAAGGGTGCAGCTGGTCGAGCTGGAGGATTAACATCGTGGCTTTACAATGGTCAAGGTTGCGTTGTAAATTACTAGTACTTCTCTGGCCTCTATACCTTCCTGTTACCGTTGAAACAAGTTTCTGAAATGTACAATGACTAGTTCTGCTATCTTGTACAGAATTCACCTTGTTTGCTTGTGTTAGTTGTGTAACATAGCCCTGCTAAGGTTAACACATGACTGCTTGTGTACCCCTTTTTCCTAGCTCTTCTGGAGCAGAATACCGTGACAGTGCGAATTAATCCAAAGATTAAAGTGTGTATGTTGATGCATGGCTTTTTGAAGTGTCTTTTGCAGAACTCCCTTGCTTGTAACATTCATGAATTTTATACGAGATCACATCTTTTTTCCTTGGAGTATCAACAAGTAATTCCTAGATTGCTCATTTTGCCCTGTCCTACCGGCAATCTTTGACCCCTGTGCGTCATTAACTGAGCCACATTAATCTATTGAAGGTAGAGCTCCTGCCATCTCTTTAAAAAAAAAAACTGTCGCAGGGTTCAAAGGACACTGCACTCTTCTACTGAAATGAAAGGGAAACCCGGAACACTTGGATTGGTAGACCTGTCACTGGATGAAGTCAACCGGCAATCCGGCATCGTTAGCAGCACGCACCTGCTTGTGATCTTTTTAACGACTGAACTGCGACGGCGTCCAGGTTTTTCAGGCTCAGTTTTCGTAATTTCATTTATCTGGTCACCCATTTCAATTCTGCAATTTCATTTGTTTTTGCGCGTATCTTATTCGTACAGACTCTCAAGGAACATGACCAGAGACTCGTATCCTTGATTGCAAAAGATGACCATCTGGAAAAGCCAGCCACCTGCGAACCGTCAAGTGTCTGAAAAATTCGGCAGATCAATAAATCCAAGAGATGGACTCGTCGAATCGACTAATTCAAAGATTGTAATTTTTGGTTAGCGGCTGCAAGTCAAAATGAAATACATTGCACGCAGAGGCGGATCCAACCGCCGGCATAAATTTTTTAGTCAAAGTTATATAGTATAGGTGTGGCTGAAATTTAAGATCGAGCAGCAGTTAGAGATGTGTGTTGTTCAGCCTCCCTAAAATTTTCTCTGGATCCGCCGCTAATTGCACGTGCTTGTCGAACTGATTTTCTTTTCGTTTTGATGTCAGTTTAACATCAGCTCGAAATGAAATAGTACATCGGAGGGAGTGAAGAACTGGAGATAGTAGCCCGTCGCATTCCAGGCCGTTGAGGATTTTCTGTTCGCTTGGCTGATAAGCCATGGCTGAAAGTACTGTTGACTGATTGGTTGTGAGAGAAAAATACTGTTTATTAACTAAAAAATACGGCTTATAAGCCAAGTGAATAGGGCGTTGATGCAGACTATAAAGGCTAAAAAAGCTGAACATGTCGTGTAAGGGGCTGACGGTTCCATTGCCTTACACGACATGCTGACACTCCCAATCAACATGGCCAATAATTTCAAAAAAAAAACATGGCCAATAATTCATTCTCCATAGACACATGGACAATAATACTTATACTACTCATGAATGGGGAAAATAGTTTTTTTTTTCAAACAACAAAGTGGCGAGCAAATTTAGAGCATATTGGCAAATATTTTATGTATTCCTTCTGAAAAAAGAAAACAACCGGAAAGATGCTCATATGTATCTAGAGTCTATACTAACAGTCTACAAGGAGCATTTTCTGATGAATGATTTTGGATTTGCAACAAAACTTTTTTGACCAGACCGTATAAGATAAGATAAATAAATACTCTGCCCCGTTCCAAAGAAAGAATAAACGTCATTGGAATAAACACTGTACCGGCTGGAAAACCAAGCTGAAAAGGGCCCTCGGAATAAACGCCATTGTGGTACTCTATTTTGGAGCAACTGGGTAGCGTAGCGTAGTTGTTAGGTCGCGAGGTTCTCCAGTTATGACGACCCATTAGTGAGGTCAAACTCAAACCAGTAGCATGAACAACCATCACCAGTTGGCGAGACAGTAAATACAAACCAGTAGCATGAACCGTCAGCAGTTGGTTCTCCAGAATGAATACTACTCCGTACCATTCTAGTAGCTTGTTACTTGCTCGTGCTCGTGTATACACCTACACTACTAGTTGGATCCGATTGTATTGGGTCCGTCCGGTAGTAAGGCCCCCGTTTAGATAAAAAAATTTGGATTTTAGCTACCGTAGCACTTTCGTTTATATTTAGCAATTAGTGTCTAATTGTGGACTAATTAGGTTCAAAAGTTTTGTCTCGTGATTTCTCACCTAACTGTGTAATTAGTTTTTTTTTTTCTACATTTAATACTCCATGCATATACCGTCAAGATTCGATGTGGCGGATACTGCGCAAAATTTTTTGAAATCTAAACGGAGCCTAAGCTGATCCAACGCCGGGGGAAGCTGGACACACGTTACACACCGGTGCGTGGCGCGGCGCGGACGGTGCTGTGTCTGTGCCTGTGCGTGCCCACGTCTATAAAAACAGAGGCCCTCTCGTGTTGCACTTGCGCCGAGGAAAACGAGAGGAAGCCGAAGCTAGCGGCCTGCCTAGCGGACAAGAGCAGAGGAGGAGGAGGATTAGATCGAGGTGCGCCGATCGATCGAGGCGTCGAGCGAGGAGTGACATGGCAGCGGGGCAGCCGCCGTCGTCGGTGAGGACGGAGCGCCTCCTGCGGGCGGCGTGCGCGGCGATGGCGACGGCGGGGGCGCTGCTGCTGGGGTTCAGCGCGCAGACCAAGACCGTGTTCTTCGTCCAGAAGAAGGCCGTCCCCAAGGACGTGCAGGCCCTCTGGTACGTACGCACGATTGATGTCCTTTGCTCACCTTCTTACCACGCCGCTTGCACGATCGCTGGAAGCGCGTAGATTGATGTCCTTGCGTGTGCCTGCCTGCCAGGGTGCTGATCGTGGCGGCCGCGGCCGCGGCGGCGTACCACGCCGCCCAGCTCGCCTGGTGCCTCTGCATGGACCGCCTCGCCAGCAGCGCCGGCTGCCGGCGTCTCGGGAGAGCGGTCGCGTTCGCCTCCTTCCTCCTCGACAAGGTACGGAGCATGTGTCGACGCGACGCACGCTTTTGCTCATGGCTCTCGATTTCGCCGGGCACCGGAGCAGATCGCCCTGCGCTGTGCCCCAACCGTTTCCATTTAAACCCGTCGCTCTCGCCCTCACATAGTGGCCAGCTGCTTGCCCGATCAGATGTTCAGATTCGTGGCAACTTGGGAAAACAGAGTAAAGTTCGCCTGCGTGCCTGCCGCGCTCGTGCCCTGCCGCGCTGCACGTACCCGTCGTGTGTTCTACTTCCAGTAGGAGACGGGACCAGACGTACAGGAGCCGTGTTTACTCATCACTCAGACACTCACTCGTGCAGTGGCAACTGCATCTGGTGTAGTACAGCGTCTTTGAGCTGCCCGGACAAAGATAGCAACCCTTAGCAACTGCAATCTAAACAGGGACTAACTCCTACTGTACGCCTGTACTCCACTTGTAGCTGTATTCCGTACCGTACCTTCTTACGCTGACAGTTACTGCGACTGTACAATTTTTCTCTTCTGTTCTTTACTGAATGAGACGGGGTTGGGAAATGTTTGCTGGTTGGTTGCAGGGATGCGCGTACATGGTGTTCGCGACGACGGTGGCGGCGCTGCAGGCGTGCTTCGTGGGGCTGCTCGGCGTGGAGGCCCTGCAGTGGAGCAAGCTCTGCAACATCTACACCCGCTTCTGCGAGCAAATCGCCGCCGGCACGGTCTGCACCCTGCTGGCCGCCGCGGGCACGGACGTCCTCTCCGCCTTCTCGGCACGAGACCTCTTCCGCCGCCGCTAGGCAGTTGCAGTGCGTGCACGTGCAGCAGCTCTTGGAGAAACTGGTTTTTCCCACACGGAGCCTCCATCGATCGAGCTTGTGTGCAGCGTGCACAGCAGCACAGAGGCTGAAGCAGCTAAGCTAGATAGTGTAAACATGTTGCCGGCGCCTTTCGTTTTTGGAGTGTGTGTGTGTGTGTGTGTATATATATATATATATATATATATATATATATATATATATATATATATATATATATATATATATATATATATATATATATATATATATATATATATATATATATATATATATATATATATATGGAGAGTATATTCGGTAGCCAGCTACAAAATAAGTTATTATGTAGCCACCTCTATTTACGATAATTTTATATACTAATTTACGATAATGTCAATACATATTTACGATAGTTAGGTTACTATAACACATGGGGATATTTACCATAACGTTATAGTAACCCACTTAGTAAGGAGTTACTATATTATCGTAACTCAAAGTGGCTACAGAATAAGTTATTTTGTAGTCAGCTACAGAGCAGTGTGTGTGTATATATATATATAGATAGATAGATATAGATATATAGAGAGAGAGCGCTTTACGATATTGTTTACCAATTAAGGGGAAAAGGGGATAAGACAGGACAATTCCTGTCGATGGAGAATCCTACGGGCCCTCCATAGACCATACTGCAGGGAGGTAGGCCTTGATAGCAAGGCCTACATCCCAATCGTCAAGAAGAACGCGGAGCAAAGCAACGTGCAAAACCGAAATTCCAACGTAAACTATATAAGGAAAGGCGTCCGAAGCGTAGCTTAGGACTCTGACCTTGTATCCGAATAGGACACAAACAACGCGTCTCAGCGCCTGGACTATAAAAGGCTGGTGAGAGTACCAATTGTAAGAAGAGGGAGAACGCATACCCGATACTCAAAGCAATACAACGCAAACAGGCTAACGCCAAAACTGGACGTAAGGTTATTACTCGACCAAGTCGAGGGGCTGAACCGAGATAAATCGTGAGTCTCTTTGCGTAACCGCTGAATTCCGCTATTCGTCGAAGTTCGAACAATCGTCCGGATACCCCGTGGCAGTGCTATCGGTGGTAAAACATCGACGATTTGGCGCGCGGTAGGGGCTTTCGACGAATTTTTCTCGAGAGTTCGGCGGACCTCAACCTCAAGAT